CCTGTATTGTTACTGGGGATTGCCCTGACCCATGTGCAGGACCTTGCATTTGGCCTTGTTGATCTCCAAGAGGTTCACATGGGCCCACTTCTTAAGCTTGTCCAGGTCCCTCTGGAAGGCATGCCTTCCCTCAGGTGAGGCAACTGCACCACTCAGTTTGGTGTCATTCACTAATTTGATGAGGGTGCACTCAATCCCACTGTCTATGTCATTGGTGAAGACATGAAATAGTACTGGTCCCAGTACAAACCCTTTAGGGACACCACTCCTTACTGGTTTCCCCCTGGACATTGAGCCATTGACCATAACTCTTAACTCAACTCTTTTGTTAACCCTTTCCCTCTGCATGAAGAGCAGTCAAAGCTACTGGGGGCGGGACAGAACACGGGGAGCCCCAACATTCCTTGCCAGGCAACACTCAAACAGAATCCACAGGACAGAAGTGACCATGGCACTGCCAGCTCTGCAGCACACACTGTGCGGCCCTGGGGCTCCTCCGATGGCCCAGCTACTGCAGCCATTCCTCTTCCCCAAAACCTTCTACACCAGAGGTGAGGACTAACCCTGACCCCGACAGCCCCGGGACTCGCTCTGGGGAAATTCAGAGCCCTTTCTCCGTTGCGCCTCTCCCTTCTCCTTCTCAGTCCCCTCATGCGCCCTCCTGTCCCGGCTTGGGATGTGATCACCAGTGAGTGCTCATGTCTCTCTGTCAGGATCAACCTGCCCAGTAAATATAATTTATAGATAATTCCCCAATCTCTTGGAGCCATCTCTCCCATTTCACCACCACATGGACAATCGTCCCTGCCACAAGCTCCCCACTCACCCGGCACAGAGCAGGGGGATGTCTGTGCTCAGGGCTGGCTCAGGGGGTGCCCCAGGAGATTCCTCCAGGTCCTCACCCCTGCACATCTCCCTCTCACCTCTGCAGGTCTGCAGATGGCTCCAAGCAGCAGCTGCTTCAACCCCCATGTCTCCCACTCGGAGTGGACGAGCACCAACCTGCCTCCAGCTGCCACCTTTGTCACCGGCCACAGCGTTGCTTCCCGGCCAGGCGCTGCCCTGTGGGGACCCCCGGGCTGCGGCTCCCCCCGGCCTGGGCAGAGCAATGGGCCCCCCAGAGCCAAGCTGAGCTGTCCTGCCCCACAACTGTCAGGGCAGAGCAGCGGCCTCAGCCCGTCCAGTGCTGCCACCGTCCCTCCGCAGCCACCACCACGTCGAGGGACAGTACACGCACCATGGCCTGTCCAGCAGAGCCAACCGCTGGCGGCACCCCCAGGCAGTGGCAGCCACCCAGGCAACAATATCCCCATGGTTAAGGACATCCTCCCAGGTGTTGACATCTCCCTGGCGAGTGATGTCCCCATGGATGAGGACATCCTCCCAGGTGTTGACATCTCCCTGGCGAGTGATGTCCCCATGGATGAGGACATCCTCCCAGGATGTGACATCTCCCTGGCGAGTGATGTCCCCATGGATGAGGACATCCTCCCAGGTGTTGACATCTCCCTGGCGAGTGATGTCCCCATGGATGAGGACATCCTCCCAGGATGTGACATCTCCCTGGCGAGTGATGTCCCCATGGATGAGGACATCCTCCCAGGATGTGACATCTCCCTGGCGAGTGATGTCCCCATGGATGAGGGCACCCCCCTGGGTGGTAACATCTCCCCCAGCCACTCTGCTGCCCTCCACGTCCAAGCCATCAGGGACCCCGGGGTGATTCCAGCCGGTGACGTTGTGCTGCCTGAGGTGGTGCTGCTGGAAGAGGCTATGAGGCACTTGGATTGCTCCCTGGGGGCAAGGGGGGGATCAGCCGGGACGATTCCAGCAGCGTCCCCGTGCCCGTGGACACCGGTGGCACTAGTGGCTCCATCCCCCAGCGCAGGATCAGCTCGCTGTGGCTGCCCGAGAAGATGCTCCCCAATGACTCGTGTCCCCAAGGCCTCCAAAGCCACCCTGAGCAGGGAGCACTTAACTCCCATCAGGATGAGGGCTGAGGATCCACGGCAGGACGTGGGGACAGACCTGCCACCCCCTCAGGGCAGTGTGTCCCGGCACGACACCAGCCGGGAGAAGAGAGCGGAGAAGCGAGAGGAGAAGCGAGCGGAGAAGCGAGGGGAGAAGCGAGCGGAGAAGCGAGGGAGAAGCGAGGGAGAAGCGAGCGGAGAAGCGGCAAAATGGCTCCCGGCCAGAAAATGGCGGCAAGCGCAAGGCCCCTGCAGCCAGTGCTGGGGCGGGGGGTGGGACTGGGCCTGTTGCGGGGAACGGGTGGGTTTGGGGAGGGGGGAGGGTGTGTTGACGATGTAGTAGCTTTGGTAGTGCGTGTTTTGTTCTCAGTTTTTCCATTAAAAGCCATTTATCCAGAACCTGTCCGTGCCTCACTGACGTCCTCCAGGCAGGTGACATCCGTAGCTCTTCCCTCGTCCTCTAATGCCGTCACTCCATCATGGAAGGCCGCTGGATTAGTCGGGCACGATTTGCCCTCGGCGAAGCCACGCTGGCTGTCTCTAAAGCGGCTGCTGAGCTGTTGTCATTCCATTTTCTAGCTCTGCAGTCACCAGTTGTGAGGCATTCATGACTCTCGGCCGCTATGAATTTACAAACTGGCAAAAATGAGCTCTCTAAAGTAGAAACATCCTTCCCAGTAAACTGCCCTGGCATTTTATCGGAATCTGTTTTAGTTTTCCTGCTCTGTGCTGAAATCCTGTAAATTCTTCACCATTGCTTCTGCCACTGTTAGTGCTACTGGTCCCCAGAAATGTTCCAGCTCCCTCTTGCCTGAAATCGCTTTTGAATTCACTCCCTGCTGTAACATCGCAAACCGATTTGCCGCACACTCTATCTCCTACAACATTTCTTAAGTAAGCACCTTACAACTGGCCTTTTTTGACATGCCAAGCTAATAGCTACTGTTTCATTTTGCATTTCTCATAGTACCAGGGAATGTGAAATACTATTTTTAATATATTGCTGCCTATCCTCACTTTCTGCATTAGTTTCACAGATTTTCAGTATACTTCTTTCACTATTTCTTTTCGTCACCAGATTTTCTGCAGAATAGCCCTCTGCCAAAGTTTGTTGCCTTACAGTGATTTTTGTCTTTGCCCTTTGCTACATAGAAGCCAGCACAAATAAGGGAAAAACTGACTATACAAGAGAGTGTGAAAATACCTTACGTCTAAATGACAAAACTAAGATCTTCATAAAGATTAATTAATAAATAAATATACCTATACACACTTCCCCCCCACCCCCCCCCACACATACACCTATAAACACGCCCCCCGACGGGTCACGCGCACCTCGACACCCACACCTGCCCCTACAGACACCCATGAGGACCGGCACCCCCCGGCCTCCCGCCCCGCTCTGCCCCTCGGGCCCGCTCCCCTCACACCAGCGCCGGGGAGCGGGGGAGTGTCACTGAGGGAGGAAAGTCTCACCTCGCCGGTTCGTGGGGCGGACGCGCACCGCCACCTTCACTTTGGAGTCCCCCATCGCGCTGCTCCAACCTCCTCCCCGGCTCCTTCGTCCCTCCTCGGCTTCCGTTTACGGAGGGACAACCGGCGGGGCGGGGAGGAGGGCGGAGCGGGGCGGGAGGGGGTGTCAAACCGGGGGGAGGGGGGGGGCGGAGGAAGGGAGGCACCGTGTGTGACCGACGTCCGGCTGGACTACAGATCCCAGCGTGCAGCGCCGCCCACCCCGCCGCTCCGGGGAGGCGGGCAGCGAGGCGCGATGCCCGCTGGGAGTTGTAGTCCTTTCCGCGCCCGTCTCCTGGCGGGACAGCATTGCATGCTGGGATATGTGGTCCGCTAGCATAGACGAGTTTCGTGAGGGGGCGAGCCCCAAATGGCGTTTGTGGGTTGTGTCGCGCTGACAGAGAAGGGGGGTCTCAGGCTCACCCCAGGTCCTGCCACACATCACCAGAGTGGCTGTGGGCCAGCCCTGTCCCACCTCAGTCTGTGCTGCCTGTGCCTCGGGCCCTTTTTGAGGGAATACTGCCATACTTCGCAGCATCGCCGCTGCGACCCAAAACCTCACCTCGCCGCAAGATGTTCTCTGGGAGTCACAAAGCAAGGCGGCATTGCTCTGCTGGTCCGTGGGGTTTCTGTCCGTTAGAAATCACGTCACGCCGAGGATCACGAACCGTAACCCAACGTAAAGACCGTGGGGTTAGATGATGGCTGGGTCTGGCTTCGCAGAGCAACCTCTGATACGCCGCCGTCAACACACTTTGCAGTTTGCTTAATGAAGGCGGTTCATTAGAGCTCAACAGTAATAATCGGAGACAGTTGGAACAATATTACAATTTATTCCCATTAGACGGCTCGGCTGCTCAACCGCAGCTACTGATCTCAGAGACCGAGAATGAAACTATAATGCGAAGATGCAAAAAAAGAAATCTCATTTAAATGGTCATTTAAAAGCCCTTGCAGCTGCTATTTTAGATCAAAACAAAGATTCTCTCTGTGTTATTTTGAAAGGCCAGATTTCAGCAAGGACGGGGGGAAAAAAAAAAGAAAACAAAACAGCAAACCAACCAATTCAGAATTGTAATCCTTTGGGCCTTCAACATCGAATGAGATTTTATGGCATAAATAAATAAAGAACACATTTCCAAGTGGTTTTGAGATAAGATCTTAGAAGGTAGCTCTTCTTGCCCAGAAGAATTGCACTCAATATCTATCATTTCATGCCTGCTTGACCTGAGGAATATCTTGTCAAGGCAGAGAGAAAACAAATATTAAATTGGTATTTAAGTAACACTGGGATTAAAGTCCATGTTCTTAAGAGCATCCCAAGGAGCATGAGAGTTAAGAAGATGTCTTAGAGTTAAAAAAAAAAAAAGAAAGAAAAAATAACAGCAGGGAA